TATCGAATCAACCACTCTCAGCCCAAAGAGTCAAACAGTGACTCACCGGGATCTATGCAACAGATGGAAATATGTTCTAACACAATGAACCCATGATGTTGTTCCTGAAGTGGCTTTTGAAAGAAGAAATTGTAGGCGTTACTTTTGGACCGTATCAATAATATACAGCACCAGTACAGGAGGTGCATGCAGACCTACTGTACATGTTTTTTTAGTGGTGGGGGAAACCGGAGCACCTGGAGGAAACCTGTTCTGACCGAGATTTGAACCCAGGATCTTCTTGATGGTGAAACAAGGATCATGGGTGAAATAATGCTGCCTTTTCCCTACTCTACCACTAGAGGGAGGTGTAGAATTAGTTGTCCTCTTGTGTTGCCAATAGATTTTTTATAAATGTGTGTTGCTGTCAATGTTTTACGTTTTTTATGAATGGATTGGATTAGATCTCCCTTTAGTCTTATAACGTTAGATCCTATTCACACACATTCTATAGTCACCTCATTATTATCACTAAACTCTAACTTCCAAAGCTCTAACTATCGGAGTGAGTTCCACCATGAGCCAACGGGAAGAGCAGCTCGATTAGCTTTAATGTTAGCCCTAATTTACACACTTAATAAAAACTTAGTTCCTCTTAGTTACTCTCTAAAATGTGAAATTAATGCCGAAGCCATAAAACGTTAGGTGTGTGTGTGTGTGGCGCAGATAATCGAGTCAAGCGGGGACACAAAACTACGGCCAGACCAAGATGGCAGAAGACATATGGCGGCCATGTTTTTCGGATGAGTTGCGTTGAGTTATGTATTAACGGTCTTAATGCAGCGCGCGCCATTAGCATCCGGTAGCATCCAAGGTCAGCGCGGCAAGTGAGGGACTTATGGAGCGTCCGCCGGGAGAGATTTGGAGCCGAGAGATGGTCAAGGGTGGGACCCAGAGGTGCCGTTATCGGACACCCAAGGATAATGCACGGGAGCGAGGGGCCGGGGCGCAGCGGTGACGAAGAGGTTAAAGATCCGCGGGCAAAGTCACCGAGAAGGAAAGAAGCGAGCTGATTGGCTGCGGAGTGGGGGTCACAGGGACAGATCAAATACAGTGAGGAGAGACAGTTTTTGAGTTTTTTTTTTAAAATAAATTTGAGGGCTAGCGTTGGTTCTTTGCTAACACGTTCATAACACTCACTCCTTTTTGTTCAGATTCTCCCTTTTGTTTTGTTCTTCATTTTTTGTTGCCTGTTGTGGGTAAAGTACTTTCTGTAAGTGAAGAAGGTGATGCTAATATTTAAAGTATTCAAATTCAAATTAGCATCGACACTGAACAATCCCTTTGGTTTGGTTCTACCACTCGTTTTCAGCATAGCACAGGGACTGGTCTCCTGCTGGGACTCTGAGGAGCACAGGGACTGGCCTCCTGCTGGGACTCTGAGGAGCACAGGGACTGGCCTCCTGCTGGGACTCTGAGGAGCACAGGGACTGGCCTCCTGCTGGGACTCTGAGGAGCACAGGGACTGGACTCCTGCTGGGACTCTGAGGAGCACAGGGACTGGCCTCCTGCTGTGGACTCTGTGGAGCACAGGGACTGGCCTCCTGCTGGGACTCTGTGGAGCACAGGGACTGGCCTTCTGCTGTGGACTCTGAGGAGCACAGGGACTGGCCTCCTGCGGGGACTCTGAGGAGCACAGGGACTGGACTCCTGCTGGGACTCTGAGAAGCACAGGGACTGGTCTCCTGCTGGGACTCTGAGAAGCACAGGGACTGGTCTCCTGCTGGGACTCTGAGGAGCACAGGGACTGGCCTCCTGCTGTGGACTTTGAGGAGCACAGGGACTGGCCTCCTGCTGTGGACTCTGAGGAGCACAGGGACTGGCCTCCTGCTGGGACTCTGAGGAGCACAGGGACTGGCCTCCTGCTGTGGACTCTGAGGAGCACAGGGACTGGCCTCCTGTCCCAGAGTCAGGCCTAAACATGGGGAGGAAGTGTTTCAGATTCATGCTAAATTCTGGAACCGTCTTCCCACAAATGTCAGACAGACTCTTTCTCTGACAATCCAGGTCAAAAACAACTGGAGGATCTCTCTTTACTCTTTTATATTTACTGTGATGATATTTCTCTCCGGGGGCTCGGTCTACATCCTCCTCCGTTTGTAATTATTCACAGATTCACAGATGTAACTTCTGGACTTGGATCACGACCGTCCCTGTGCTTTTCCCCTTCAGCCTTTTACACAACTTTGAATCCTCCACAAACTTCCTCTGATTAATGAGCTGTAATGTAATCATAAAGACACTTGTTTTACATAAAATCAATTAGAGATGATAATCTCACACTGATGATTATTTAATCTGGAGTTAATGACCTCATTTCCAAATATAATTACTTTTTCTGTGGAGTTTGATGTTTGTTTCCTACAGCAGGCGAAGACAAGACGGGGCCTGTATTTACTACTGATATTTCTACTGCTACTGCTACTGATACTTCTTTTACTACTACTACTATTGATACTTCTTTTACTACTACTACTACTACTGATACTTCTTTTACTACTACTACTAATACTTCTTTTACTACTACTACTACTGATACTTCTTTTACTACTACTACTACTGCTACTATTACTACTACTGACATTACTGATACTTCTTACCTCTAATCCTTCCTCTACTACTCCACTGTAATGCTGTTTTCATTTTCAAAGATTTATGAATGAATTATCTTTCAATCATAATAAATCTTCTACTACTACTACTACTTCAGTCATATTCTACCACTACTATACTTGTACCATATCAACCAAATAAGTAATGCCGCTTTTCCACAGTATCAGTACGGTACAGTACAGTACGCTTCAGCACGGTTATTTTGCGTTTCCACTAGTGGATGGAATGGGAGATTTGAGTACTTTTCCGTACTGCCTCAGCCGTGGTTCCATCCCCATAGTACCGGTACCATGACGTCACGTCGGCCCACTGCCTTACACTGATTGGTCAACGAGTGTCGTCACTGGAAGCGACCTCTGACCCTTTGGGAAAAACAACTCAACCGCCATCTTTAAACCCGGCTGCTCTGCTCGGCTCTGCTTCAGCTACATTACGTCCTCCTCACTCCAGAGAAATGGAATCGCACAGAAAGCCCCGAAAGTCCTGGTCCTGGTCGGTGGAAGAGGTCCAGACGTTCCTCTCTTCAGTCCAAAGAAAGAATTCAAAGGCAGCTCGAGGCTCAACACAGTTTTCAGGAGATCACTCTGGATTTGTGACTAGTCTGTGGTAATCCTGAAATAACTGGTTAGATACGAATCCCGTTAAAGCTCTCACTGAAATGTATTTACTGTGTAAATGTTCCATTGTCTTTTGTACACAGTGAGCTAGCTACATTTAGCTTCATTTAGCTATCGATAGCAGCTAAGCTAACGTCCTACCTGTGCTACTGTGCTTTATCTCGTATTATCTGCAGTATTCATGTGTTGTCATTCTATTTTGTGCTTGTATTTAAGTTGTCGTGTGTATATTTGTTTGAGAATCCCTTTCCATAAGTGTGGAGATTACTAATGAGTAATGAGTGACCGGAGTATTCTCCTCATCTGGACCTGGTCTGGACCTGGTCTGGACCTGGTCTCACACATACGTACTTTTGACTTTGTAAACCGTTGGTTTTGCACTTTACTTTTGTTTTCAATAAATCTGTGATTGTATCAAGACTGTGTTTCATTCATTTATTATTATTGTAGCTGAGGTTTGGGTATCGATTGTTTGTCTGGTCTCGGAGTCTGCTGTAGTCCAGACCCGAGTCCGGACTAGCCTAGCCTAGCTTAGCCTAGCCTAGCCGCTAACTCGCTACTTCTATGGCTGCCGCTGTCTCTCCCTCGGTCCTTTACTGCTCGAGTTGCCATATGACGAGTTTAAACCCTGGATCCTCCTCTGAGGGTAGTGATAGATGTGTTAAGTGTAGTATAGTAGTAGCTTTGGAATCCAGAGTTAGTGAGCTGAGTCTCGAGCTAGCGTTAGCATCAGCTATAGCCTAGCAGTCTCCTCGGACATGCAGCCCTCCTCCTCTGCTACACAGGCTGCTGTTGCTACAGGTCCATTCAGATTGTACAGAGCAGTCAGCACCATTGACCTCACAGTTTCTGGGTCATCATTTTAAGAAATAAGCATTTTCAAAAACTACTCGTGCTGTGCTGAATTTTCTATTAAACACTTGCTCTGGTATTATAATAAATCCATGCATGTACTAGTTACGCGTCACACGTAAATGATGTGGTCTGACAACGCTGAGGACATACTGGGGGTACTATTTTTGATGGAAAAGCACGCGAACTGGGCCATGGCGCGCCGTGTAGTGTCAAAACGTACCGTACTAGGACTGTGGAAAAACGGCATAAGTAAATAATCTTTATTTATATAGCGCCTTTCCCAGGGCAGATTCACAAAGCGGTTTACAATTGTTATTTTTGGGCATTAGTCTCTGACTCCACACAGAGATGGGAGGGGCCAGTACAGGAGGCGCATGCCAGAAAGACCTATTGTACATGTTCTTAGTGGTAGGGGAAACCGGAGTACATGGAGGAAACCTACGCAGACACGAGGAGAGCATGCAAACTTCGCTCAGAAAGACCCTGTTCCGACCGGGATTTGAACCCACTCTTGCTTCTCCCTTGCTGAGACGCGAGAGTGCTATCAGCCACCGTGCCGCCCAAACTATAACTACTACTACTACTACTACTACTACTGCTGCTGAGGTGAGGAACATGCTTCTTCTATTCTAACCATATACTACTACTACTACTGCTGATGTAACCCTCTATATAAATATATACGTGTCCGTTTCTCCTTTTTAATAAGTGCTGAAACTGGTCATCATAACTGAAATGCAGCATAACAAAGACTTAAGCTTCTTCTGTAATCATGTGTTGCTATGGTGTGAATGAGTCCTCATGCTCCATCGGTTGCTGCAGAGTTTAGCGGCTAGCTGGGTCTTTCTGCAGACACCCTTGCATTCTTCTGAAAACATGCTGTCCTCTGGAATTGGGACACAGCGCCTTTTCACGATCTGCTCAGGTTCCAGGGGCGTCCTTTTCCACAGCATGAGGAACAGGACACACCCCATCTGCCACACTGTGACCGCTGTAGGAGTCTGCAGCTGGCAGCGGAAGTGTTCCGGACACTGGAACTCCATGGTGCCTGCAAAGTCGCGGAAGGTCTGGCCGTCCACATAAATCTCAGCGTTGTGAAAGTCCAGCAGTCAGAAGGAGACCCTATTTCCCTCTTGAAGGAACAGGAAGTTCTCTGGCTTTATGTCGCGTTGGAAGATGCGATTCTCTTCCAGCAAACATGCCGACATCAGCGACCGCCGAAAAAGGACTTTGGCGTAAATCTCTTTGATCTCATCAGTCCTTTGGGACAGGGTCGGCTGATACACTTCTGCAGACTCATGCAATCGTGCTGGGGTTTTTCAGCCACCAGGACAATGGCATTCCCAAGATTGTACCAGTCCAGGAGCGCGGGAGTGAAGCTGGGGATCATGTTGAGGGGGATTTCATTCATTTGACTGAGCATGACGGCCTCCTGCGGGATTCTCATCATGCGGCCATTGATTGTCTCTAATACAAATCTGACGCTCTTAATGGGCACCCATTTAATAACCACTGCAAAGTTGTCCTCACGCCGTTGTCTGAGATAGACCCGAGAGCCGGACCGGCCCTAGTGCATCTGCTCGTCTTACACGTATTTGTCTTTCAGCATTCTACAGACATTGAAGTCATGCCGGGTTTATCTCCAGTCTGCAGATTCATATCCAGGCTCCCATACTGGCATCTGGTTCCTACAAGGTATTTCCTCAGGCTTCCAGTTGATGTGGATGGGAGGGGATGAGCAGAGGGAGGCTCCCCAGAAGGAGACTGAGCAGAGGGAGACTGCGCTGAGTCTGTCCCTACATTGCTGTCGGGAACTGCGTCCTGCTCCTCGTTCCGTCCTTCTTGCTCAGTGGTGTCAATTTTTAAGGTGATCCAGAGAGTTTTGAATCTCCACTTCGGACAGCATATCACTGCTGTGTTTGCAGCTGCGCCATGATGACTGCTCCAGAGCTGGGGCAGGAGCTGGGGCCGGCTCCGGATCCTCACACAATTCTGACTCAAGATTCGTGTCGGTCCTCCAAAGTCCCACACTTCCCTCTGGACCGGAGCTAATTTGGATGGTTTTACCTTCGCCGGAGATTTCCTCCTCGGCATCACCTTTTTTGCCAGGGTTTGAAGTTTCCTGTTCGCTTTGTGAAGAGCTTGCTCAGTGGTGTCAATTTTTGAGGTGATCCAGTGAGTTTTGAATTGCCTCTTCCTGGTAATCTCCACTTCGGACAGTGCATCACTCTTGCGTTTGCGGCTGCGCCATGATGACTGCGCCAGAGCTGGGGCAGGAGCTGGGGCCGGCTCCGGATCCTCACTCAATTCAGAGTCGTGTCTGTCCTCCGAAGTCCTGCTCCTGGACACTTCCCTCTGCACCAGAGCTGATTTTGGATGGTTTCACCTTGGCCGGAGATTTCCTCCTCGGCATCACCTTTTTGGCCAGGTGTTGAAGTCTTTCGGCCTACTCTTTGAAACTTCAATATTGAGCAGGCAGCCATAACCATGATGCTGATGGGTTATCCCGAAGCCCTCACCTGTCAAACCTGTTTGATGCGGCGACCACCCCCTCCTGACGACACCTGTCCTCAGGTTACCCTGGCAGAGAGTCTCTCGGTGCATGTGGATGCCATTCCTGACAGTTATTCCGCAGATGATCTGCATGGCTTACCTTCCCTTAAAGAACTTTCTCACCACGAGTTTGAGACGGGAGAGAAGGTGGTGCCTGCATTAAGGAAGGAGTTCTCCGAACTGCCGTTGTTACTCAGAGATCTAAAAAGGCTGGAGCTGAAGAACGGAGTCCTCTACAGGAAGAGGATGTCTATCCTACAGCTTGTGCTGCCCCCAGAGCTCCGCCTTCTTGTTCTTACAAGTCTACATAACCACATGGGTCATATGGGAGTGGAGAGAACATTAGACCTAGTCCGTCAGCGGTTCTTCTGGCCCCGAATGGCTGCCGATGTGGACATGAAGATTTGCACTTGTTGCAGGTGTGTGCGCCGGAAAGCTGCACCAGAACGAGCTGCTCCTCTGGTCAGTATCAAAACATCCCGGCCTCTCGAACTGCTACGCATGGATTTCTTATTGATTGAGCCTGATCATAGCAATACAAAGGATGTTTTGGTTTTAACAGATCACTTCACAAAGTTTGCAGTGGCAGTCCCCACTCCGAACCAAAAGGCATGGACAGTTGGTAAAGTTCTGTTGAAGGAGTTTATCGTTAATTTTGGAGTGCCAGAGCGTTTACACACCGACCAAGGTTGGTTAATTCGGAAACTCTGCGCAGTCACAGGAATGTGATCGTATCATCCACGTGGGAATCTTGTTGAACGATTGAATTGTACATTACTTGGCATGCTAGGCACGCTGGAATCAATCTCACCATTAAGATTAATGTAAAGCACTCATTCCAAGTCAAAATTCTCTTTTTCCGTGGCGTGTACAGTTGTGGCAACTGCTCATATCTAGTGGGGAACTTATGGAGTCTCTATTTTGCTAACAGGTTTCAATTTTTAGGAAAATGTCTAATAAGGAACAGAAGAAATGCGTTGGCATTAGCATTAGCCTGCGTAGCATCTGCGGCCACAGACACAGCAGACAGTCCACTGTCTTTACTTCAACTTTCATAGATATAATGAAATCTTTTTATGTGGTATACGATTGTAGTAACCGAGGGAACAGAGAGAAAGAGCTGTTACATACATATTTTAATGCCAAAAGTTGTCTCAAACCAACATGTACATGTGTAACAAAGCTAATAGTAGGCTTTACAATCAGTCTTCTCACATATATTCTACCTATTGTGTAATGTCTTTCTTATCTGGACTTCGTGGCTGTAATAAAGTTTAATAATAATAAGAGTCTTTGTTCATTGTTATTTCCACGACTGTGAGAACGATGAACTGGTGAGGACCAGGGTAATGTCTGAAATTGTATCCAAGCTCCGTGCCCCCAGGACGGCTGTGTTCATTGTAGCCCCCGCTGTTAGCGCACTGCTGTTAGCTTAACGCCACATAGCCCCCCTGGAGCATAACAAATCACAGAAATGACAATAAAGGGTCATATTTCTTGCCTCAAATGTGGTTAAAAGTACAATTTGTGCCCTATTTATTGTATTATTGATCAGAACTATTGTCTCAGACGTGGTTCTGTTGATAGAAGAGTGACTCCACTGTTGTCACTATAACAGCCTTAATCCTCCTCATTCTAACTCTACAAGGCGTACGCTGCATTGAAAATAGTTTTCACTCAAAATAAGAGTGATACCAACCCACGGACAGCTAAATGGCGGGAGTATGTGAAGCCCCTTGTGCACGCCTACAATTGGCTATATACACTGGGAGGCGTGACGTCACTTCCTGTCTATGCTGTCCTATGGCTTTTAGTGACGTTTTTTGGTAATTAGATTGATACATTCAGCTGAGACTGACCCAAAAGGTTCGCTGTGCTTTCTCTCTGAGGTAGAGCTGTGACTGTGGCCACTCAGAGAGATTTTTAAACTTTATAAAAACACAATGACAGCACAATCAAAGAACTTGTGTAAACGACTGCTGAACTCCAGTGAAACTCAGGCTGTTTCCCGCGAACAGGAAGTGAAGTGGGGTAGTAGCTAAAACGCGGAAGTGGTGCGTGCATAGAGCCCATTGCACAAGGTAACTGGGTTCACTTACGAGCTTTTGTTTGGGAGGACTCCTAGACTCCCTGGCCTGCCTGTACGTGAAAAACCCGCCTTTACACACAACTCAACTTAAAGTCACGTCTGGAAGAATGTTCACAAATAGCTTCGTATAACGCCTTCAGGTCTGCAGAGTGAAACAAGATCCGCTTCGATCGCCGAGTGACTCCTCGTAAGCTGGCTGTGGGGGACAAGGTCCTTGTCCGTAATGTCCGTGTTTGCGGAAAGCAGGAAATTGGAGGACAAGTGGGAGCCTGGAGTTAAGTGTACCGGAGATCTCCGGCTCTCCCAGCTGCCTGGCCCATAGCAGGCTTTGATCTGTCCCCGCCATCTAACAATGAGGTGGATGTAAATGCTCCAAATGATCCCACATTCTCAACATTCCTGTTGAGTTTAGTCCCAAATGTCAGTTCCCCTGCACCTGCACCATCTTTGGAAGATGTCCCAGTGGTTGATTCCGCTGAAGGTGAGACGGATGTGATGGAGGAAACCGATGTATCAGATGGAGGAAGTGGGTCCAGTAAGCCTGATCATACACCCACGGATGATGCAAATGAGGCCCTTGAGCAACCGGAAGAATTTCCCTTGCCCCCAATGACCACTGACTCTGCAAACGACCAATCTGATTCATTAATAGCCGACCTCAACATCGTTGCAACTCTCAAACTAGTGGATGATGTTTACGCCGCTCAGGTCGTCAGCGAGTTCCACCAAACCGTCTTCAGTATTCTAGTTTAGGAAACCCTTTGATTTCTGTTGTCCAGACTCTGTTTCAGAGCTTTTCAGACGCCTATACTGATGTGTTGCAACGAGCCAATAGAGGTTTTGCGCCACCACGTGACGTACATAGCAACCGTCACTAAGCCGCCATGTTAGATGGCAGGTACGAAACTCTATACAGTCAGATTCAACACAGTGGCCGAGAGCGCACCTATCTATGGACTATGGACAGACAATAACAGCCAGAGCTTGATGATGATGATAATGAAGTGCACTTTGTGAATATTGTAAATATTGTACATATTGTAAATATTCTTTTTTTTTTCCTTCAACTAAACTACGAACCATAATAAAAATCTTCATTTTGTAATTTATCATAAGTGTTACACTACTGTCACCATTGCTTCTCCAGCCCCAGCCCCAGCTCCAGCTCCAGCTCCAGCTCCAGCTCCAGCCCCAGCTCTAGCCCCAGCTCCAGCCCCAGCTCCAGCTCCAGCCC